TATGCCAAAGTAGCACACAGACAGACAAACAACTGCGACCCTTGCTGCACATGCACACCTATATGGGGTTAACAACAACATCCATCTGACTTACATAGATTACCGGATGTTCTTCATTCACAAAAGTAAAGTTTGTAGGGCCATTTCCTTTCTTGAAATAAACCAAAAGATTTTCTGCAGGGTAAAGAATAACTTTCTGCAGGGTCAAAAATAACTTTCTGCTAGGTAGAATATTATTTTAGCTTTTCCCTGCCTTATGAACTTGTAGCTATACCCTGCACACAGTAATTTTAGGTTCTTGCACCATAACACTGCTTGGGTCCCTAGCTACCTAGCTATGCTCTTCTTTTTCTACCGTCATGGTCAGCAGCCTTAGATTTCAATCAACTGCTACATGTGGAGGAACTGAAACATTTCGTGCTTTTGTGCTGGACAGTTATATACAAGTCTGTTTACAAGACCAATGGGGGGTGAGGGCTACAAACCTCTGTAACATACTTTATTAACTGCTATAGGTTATGGTCTTGTTGGTAACTAGTTCCCCTTAAGGGAGCATAAAATTGGTCTCGGCTTTCAGTCTTGGTATGTCAAGAAAAACGACCGTGATGTCTTATCTTGGGGCACAAACACTGAAGGAGCAGAACAGTAGCTACATCTAACAAAAAAATAAACAACAAACCATATATACTGCATTACCTTCTGTTCACATTAGTGTGCCTTCTGGCAGCAGAGGCTTCGGTACCGCCATCATATTGGATCATAAACTCCAGGGGATTGAAGTCAGTAATGGTCCATTGGAAGTTAGTATAAGTCCCAAGGGAGTAGTATGCCATAATTTCCGTATCTAACTGACAAAGCTGGAAATAACATTATCAACGGATGAAATAACCCTCTGCAGGCCTCAAGAGTATTGAAGACTTCAGTCATGCATGGTCACATCCTAGTCTTTATACATTCAAGGAAAACATTCTCTGTTTAGATATTGCACGGAAAAAGGTGTGCATGTGACCCAGTGCATGCGTCCCATGAGAGTTGGAGGTAAATAGAAAAAGAACATTATCTAAGAGCTGATCTGTTCAACTTGGTCAATGTTTACACTTGAGGGTGCATGACACAGTGTTCCTAAAGATCTTTAAAAATGGTACAACCAGACAAAATCAAAACTTAGCCTTGGTCAAACAGTTTTTGGTCCTAACTTCAATTAATTATATAATAGGCAAAACCATGTCCAACCATGCCAATGTGTAAAACTCCACATGGAGCTAAGAAACAAATAAATTTCCTCTATTATGTATAGACCGAGACCCAGAAAGCAGCTTGTTCAGCTAGCTAATAAAGCTAGAATTCACCTAGCTGTTTATACAAGCATTAGAGCTAACTGAAGAAACATTACATTTGATGTTGTCCAGCATGTATGCTGTCATGATATATAATTTGACTTTCTCAATGGCTTGGGAGTGGCACTAAAACCCAAGTACTTACTGCACTGCTAGTGTCATTCCCACATAGTTGAACATAACATGGAGTATAGGTGATGTTGTACTTTCCATTATCTTGAAAGGTGAGTGCCCTAGGAACAGTTTGATCAATGTAGGGGGAAAAGATGATACTATCACATACAGAGGAGTCTCCTATAGTACTGGAATTGACTGACATAAATAAATGATTTTCAATCTCTAAAGCTGTGTGTAGGATTATGGATTGAGAACAGACTCAGTGAGATATCGCAAGGCTATAGTGAGGGAGTATATATTATACAGTTTTGGGCTAAGGGGCAAGACTATTATAATAGTCACAAATTTTTTAATACGTTTGTTAAACCTTCCTGAAGCTGAGACACAATTCCAGGCAATGGTGCAGACTGCTGCTCAACATGCGAGCAATTATACTTAGCTGCCATGCTCATAGTTATAGTAAATTTATACTCACGGGAAGGAGAGACCCATGTCGGCGATATCCAGTGTAATGTTACTGGTAGAGCATCGGCAAAAGTTGTTGTCGCTCGGTAAACAATCCACATTAGCAGAAATTACTGTGGATTGGAGAAAGAGAAGCTGCAAAACTAGAGCAAGTAAAACCCCACGGGTTAGAGCCATAGCGATTCGTTTAGTGGCAGAACTTGCAATTTGATAATAATACAGAAGTAGCGTGAACCTGCGTAAAAATCGTCTGACGATTGGGGTTTCCACAATTGCTGGAGTGCGAAGATATTATACACGATGGCCTGGTGTGGTTCCAGGGTTTTCCGTATATATGCAATTCTTTTGCGTCTCTCCTGGAAACCACAATCGTGCACGCCGAAGACAAAATGATACGGAAGCCGAGAGCATTTGCGCGTTCACGTGCGCATATATATGCGCGTTGGAAGCCGAAACGCGCATGTCGCTTTCAGCTTCCGTATAATACCTACCACGTATATTTCCCGTTCAGAGTTCACCTTTAGAGTTCACCTTTAACTTACTTATCAATTCAATTTTATAGCAAAATGGATTGTCTTTGCTCATTGAGAATTCTCAAAATACTCAGACAGGCAATGGACTGGGCTGAATCTGTCTGGGTAGCCGGATGGTTAGCAAAGAGACCATCCCTACTGGAGAATCCAATTGTAGCTCCATTAGAATACCCCAGGTGGGCACAATAATACGTGAACACAGCAAAAGACCTGGTGAAATCAGTGACTAACATTCCTTGGAATGTGTTTGTCTGTAATCATACTAATAAACATTTCAAACTATATCCTCACAATGCTAGTGCCACCATCATAATAATTATGCTGGAACCTGTTCTCAAGTAGCAACCAGCATCCATTCACCATTGAAGCTAGTGCCAGTGTGTTCGTTGATGACCGAATCGACTTGAGAGAGGATGGATCCTAAGTAAGTATCACTGGTGTGGATCTCATAGTCAATTTGACCGACTCCATTAGATATGTCGATGTCAGTAAATAACGGAGCCACAAGAGGAAGACTAGTGTTTTTATAAGGCGATTATTTGGAGTATCCATGAGTAAAAGTGAAATAGCCATTCATTCCCACCTGTTAATAAAATTTAGTAGATGTGAAATAAGGTTCGCAATGTCAACCTAATTTAAATGTTGTTTCATCTAACGAGATTTAAATCCAGTGAAGCAATGCTGCCCCATCTGGACACTGGCCCCTTTCTTTGTTTTTTTCCCTTGTGTCACCAGTGGAAGGCTGACCACCATAACAGTGTCACATGCTGATAATGCTTTTATTTTTTGTGGTTGTAGCTAGCTCATATCAAAATACCTGTTGGCGTTTTTACCCCCACAATTTTTCAGTTCATTATCAAATGCTGCATGCTAGCATGAGTCAGACTCACATGCTTCAGGCAAGTGTCATACTGCCGACGAACAGCGTACCCTGGGGGAGTGTCGGCAAGTGTCATACTGCCGACGAACAGCGTACCCTCGCTGACTGCCTGGGTGAGTGTCGGCAAGTGTCATACTCCGTTGAATTTGACCTGGAAAGGCACGTTGGAGAGGGTGATAGCCCTGTGTGGGGCGGAGTCGCCGAGGGCTGCTACCGTCTTCGGATCTACATTGGTGGTCTCCCTTAATATATTATACTCAACGATAAGACAACCCTCATCTCAAGGGTGCTATAATTATTTATTGTGGGTCAGAGCATGCAGTAAAAGTTCCCCTAGCATCTTTTAATCAGAATCAGTAAAAATTCACCACTAATATTTAATGGTTGAGTCTACCATGCATATATAGGTGCAACATAAAGAACACACTTCTACTTGAGCATGTTATTAAGAAATGGGGTGATGAGGTAGCTAGCTAGCTATAGTTTTGCTATAATATTATACGATTCATTTGCAGAAATATCATATGGACTCCTGCAACGAGAAAAGACACAATTATAATTAAAAATTGAATACCTACGCGTATATTAGTTCTTCTGCGGTGTTTACTTGCAAATCACCGTTGTTTGATCCCGAGACTTGAACTGCATCACTCCTTTATTAAAACCAAAACAATTTCATCCTAATTATTTTATTAACAAAAATGATGTACCTTGTTTTGTCTGACGTGCAGGGATGGGCTCTGTTACTTCTCTTGAGTACCATAACAACATTAACAGATACTGATAATGCAAGCAGTAGCAATAACACAACCCCCACTGCTCCCGTTGTGATAGATGCCACATTGTCATCTATAATTCTAGAGCATGATGTAGAACACATGTTTACGTTGGAGAAGTTTGAAGTTACGATAATGATACGAGGACTTTCGGTTGTACCAATTACATTAACGGTTCTGACTCTAACACTGTACGAAGTAGTGGTTAGCAAGTCATTAATGGTATAGTCGGTACCACTGAGACTTCCACTAGTGTTTTCAGTCACATTGCCATTACTATCTCTCCAAAATACCTCCCAACCCATCACCGAGCCACTTGCAATACCCCAGCGAGGGTAACTACTCTCATCATCCAGTGCCTTCTGTAAGTCAGTGTACACATTTGTAAGTGGCTAGCTTGCGTTTTGCTGTTGATTTGCACGAGGAGCAACTTGGCAATCAGCGCCGTGTTACGCATGCCTTTGCCAGGCGCCTTCATTCTTTGTCCCCCATGTTATAGCTACCATTGTAGTCTTATTTCTGAAGCCTGCCCAATGAAACCCACCACACCACCATATGCGCTACAACCTAATCGCGTCCTTGTTGGAGACACTACGCATACACCCTGCTTCAGGTAAGAGCAGCTTCTGCTTTCAACAGTCATCTCTACAAATAGTCATACCCATGAACATTAGAGTGACTGAAAATGCAGTGTTGCCATAAGCCATTAAAAATAGTGGAAACAAGTGGGAAAATCACTTCTTCAAAATGAAGGGGGATATAGGGACATAATATCTACAATATAATTCTCCACGAACCTAAAGGAGACAAGTGGAAAAATCATTTCTTCAAAATGAAGGGGGGTATAGGGATGGCTTGAAGCACCAAAAAGGAAGAAACAAGGGGTCATTACACACCAAATATGCACAAAGCCACATGACACCATCCCTATATCTTTGTTTTATTGTTCATAAGCAAAGTTTAGTAATATGAGACAAAGATATAGGGATAGTGTCATGTGGCTTTGTGCATATTTGGTGTGCAATGACCCCTTGTTTCTTCCTTTTTGGTGCTTCAAGCCATCCCTATATCCCCCTTCATTTTGAAGAAAAGATTTTTCCACTTGTCTCCTTTAGGTTCGTGGAGAATTATGTTATAGATAATAATGTTTCTAAGTAGCTTACTACGCTATAGGCTTGTAGATATGTTTCTCAAGTTGCCACCCTTTCCATTAGGAATCGGTACGATTGATGATGTTTTCCCATTCATATAGAATTTCACCAGTTACAATAGAGATGTTGAAAAGGGTTGTAACACTTGTCAGAGTTACTGTTTGCCCTGATGATGATCACAGCACAACAGGCTATAAGCGCAACTCAATTTTGTATAGCATGAGTCACATGCTACATCTACATTGGTGGTCTCCCTTAATATGCAACGATTCCTCATCTCAAGGGTGCTATATTTATTGTGGGTCAGAGCATTTGCAGTAAAAGTTCCCATATCAGAATCAGAAATAATTCATCACCATACATAATTATGTTCAACATAACGAAGTCTCTTCTACTTGAGCATGTTATTAAGAAATGGGGTGATGAGGTAGCTAGCTAGCTATAGTTTTGCTCCAAATCGCATTATATTATACAATTCATTTTCAGAAATATCATACGGACTCCTGTAATGAGAAAAGACACGATCATAATTAAATTTAATAAAAATTTAATACCTACGAGTATATAGGTTCTTCTGTGGCGTTTACTTGCATATCACCGTTATTTGATCCCGAGACTTCAACTGCACCACTCCTTTATTAAAACAAACAAATTTCATCATAATTATTTCATTAACAAAAGTGACGTACCTTGTTTTGTCTGATGTGCAGGGATGGGCTTTGAGTACCATGACAACATTAACAGATACTGATAATGCAAGCAGTAGCAATAACACCACCCCCACTGCTCCAGTTACGATAGATGCCATAATATTGTTGTCTATTCCAGAGCATGATGTAGAAGACATGTTCATTTGTGGGCAAGAGTCGTAGACTGAAGTTGGAGGCAAAGAGGTCTCATTTACGTTAGAGAAGTTTGAAGTTACGATAATGATACGAGGACTTTCGGTTGTACCAATCGGATTAACGGCTCTGACTCTAACACTGTACGAAGTAGTGGTTAGCAAGTCATTAATGGTATAGTCGGTACCACTGAGACTTCCACTAGTGTTTTCAGTCACATTCCCATTAATATCTCTCCAAAATACCTCCCAACCCATCACCGAGCCACTTGCAATGCTCCATGAGAGTGAAATGGAGGTGGGGGTTGCAGATAGCACAGCCAGCAGTATCTCCCCTGGAGGTGAGACTAACAAAATCCCAATAATATCAACATGCACATGAGTAAGAACACATTAATAGGATTTTTACTCAAAAAGATATTCAGCTCCACAAGAGTGCTTGGAGGATGATCTTCAGAGGTGCCATAATGAAAATGGTATAAGAGCCCATCTGAACACCTTCCAGAATGTAGTTATCAGTAGAACCATCGGTGACATCCTCAAACCCACTGTGACCTCCACTGCCGTCATAGTAGATCCTGTACCCAGTGGCATTACTGGATGGAGTCCACGACACAATGATGCTAGTGAGACCCTCTTGGACTGCACTGACATTGGTAGGTGGGGGGATACCTGAAGAGCAATTTTTAAAAGTTCAATCCTGGTTCAACAGCATAGCTAACCTTGGACTGAACCCACTCCTGAACCGGAAACTTCGAAATGCTGAAAAAAGAAAATCACATATATAGCGATTAGGTGCAAACCCCTCGCCGCCAAAGAAGCACATGAATATATTAAAATAATGTGCATATTACGCATGCACAATATAATAATGACGGAGCCAGTTTCTCTAGTTGCACCATTGTAGTAGTGTTAGATTGTGACTCGTTTAGCTATAGGTAGCAGCCATTTCGAATTTTCACTTGGTTTCATGCCATATCTCTTTATTTCAGCTCTTAAGCCTTCATAGCTCTAAAGCCATTGGTAACACTCATAATAATGCCAAAGTAGCACACACACACACACAGACAAACAACTGCGGCCCTTGCTGCACATGCGCACCTATAATTATGGGGTTAACAACCACAACATCCATCTGACTTACATAGATTACCGGATGTTCTTCATTCACAAAAGTAAACTTTGTAGGGCCATTTCCTTTCTTGAAATAAACAAAAGATTTTTTGATTAACTTTCTGCAAGGTAGAATTATTACAAGTGGAAAAATCATTTCTTCAAAATGAAGGGGGATATAGGGATGGCTTGAAGCACCAAAAAGGAAGAAACAAGGTGTCATTACACAGCAAAGATGCACAAAGCTACATGACACCATCCCTATATCTTTGTCTCATATTAAACTTTACTTGTGGACTATAATTATAGCTATAACACAAAGATATAGGGATGGTGTCATGTAGCTTTGTGCATATTTGCTGTGTAATGACCCCTTGTTTCTTCCTTTTTTCCACTTGTTTCCACCATTTTTCATGCCTTATGACAACACTGCATATTCAGTCACTCTGATGTTCATGGGTGTTGTAGAGGTAACTGTTGAAAGCAGAAGCTAATGGGCTGCTCCTACCTGAAGCAGGGTGTATGCGTAGTGTCTCCAACAACGATGTAATTAGGTTGTGGCACATATGGTGGGGTGGTTTCATAGGCAGGCTTCAGTAATCAGACTACAATGATAGCTATAACCTGGGGGACAAACAATGTAAGCGCTGGGCAAGGCCCGCGCAACACTGCCGAGTTGCTCCTCGTACAAATCAACAGCAATAAACGCAAGCTAGTATAGCCAGTTAAAAATGTGTATACTGACTTACAGAAGGCACTGGAGGATAAGAGTTCTTCTGCAGGCATCCTGGCTTAGTCTCGTAGACCTGGTTCACTATAGTAATGCGCGCGCACCGCATTGGGGAAACACCCTCCTCGGCGCATGCGGCTCACTGATGCTGAGTTAGAAGCAAATGGCGTTGTCCAGTGACTACCGTGGAACAGCTCAACGATCTACCGTATAGTGACTTGCGGCAAGAAACAAGCGATCGCTTGATATGCATGCACAACGTTCTCAGAAAAAATCAACGCTGCAACTGCTTCCGGTAAGGAGCTATATAGCGGGTCTGAAGAATAATAAGAAGAAGAAGATGATTATGATGACACGAAAATCGCGAAATCGCGTAAGAGCGAATTTTCTGGTGGGGAACTGAGGGAACGTAGGAAGTCTTGGGGCATATGTATAGCTAGGTATTGGCCTCTAGACTATTGCTAGTGATTTTGAAGCCATGGTGAGTCATTCTCGCTGAGTTTTGAGCGTTTTGTACGCGGATCACGTGAGATTTCACTCGCGTCATCCCTATATAGAGCGTCTACCGACGCTCAGATATATAGCTTTTCCCTGGCTTCCAATGAACTGGTAGCTAGCTATATAGACCCTGCACACCTTTTTTTGCACCATAACACTGCTTGGATCCCTCGATACCTATGCTCATCTTTTTCTCCAGTCATGGTCAGCAGCCTTAGATTTCAATCAACTTTTTCTCTGTATAGCTACATGTGGAGGGACTGAAACATTTCGTGCTTTTGTGCTGGACAGTTACAAGTGTGTTACAAGACCAATGGGAGGCTACAAACCTCTGTTACAAATTATTTCTTAGGTCATGGTCTTGTTGGTAGCTATATTTGCCCAAAATGGAGCATAAACAATTGGTGTCGGCTTTCAGTGTTGGTGTGTCAAGAAAAACGACTATGATGTTTATCTTGGGGCACAAACACTGAAAGAGTAGAACGGTAGCTACATCTAACAAAACAATAAACAATAAACCATAATAATAATACTGCATTACTTTCTGTTCATGTTAGTGTGTATTATAGAACATACCTTTTTGCAACAGAGGCTTCGGTACCGCCATCATAATGGATCATAAACTCCAGGGGATTGCAGTCAGTAATGGTCCACTGGAAGTTAGTATAAGTTCCAAGAGAGTAGTATTCCATAATTTCCGTATCTAACTGACAAAGCTGAAAATAACGTAATCAACTTATGAAATGAATGTCTGCTAGTCAGTTTTGGTCCTAAGTAGTTATTTAAACAACTACCTCAATTCATTATTATTATAATAGGTAAAACAATGTGCAACCATGCCAATGTGTAAAACTCCACCTGGTGCTAAGAAACAAATTCATTTCCTCCATTATGTATATATAGACCGACACTCAGAAAGCAACTTGTTCAGCTAGCTAATCAAGCTAGACTTCACCTAGCTGTTTATACATAGCATTAGAGCTAAGTGATAGTAAGAACATGCCTACTCAGTGTTTATCGCCTATACACACGAAGTAACATTACGTAATCTCGAGGGCGCCAGCCCGAGGGCTTATGTATTGTTACTGAGTGTGTATACCGATAAGCACGTGGTAGGGATTGTTCTTACGAGCTTGTATCCTGGAAACGGATAATCACCACGGCAACGTGACGTCAAACGTTTAGCGCCTAGTGCGTTTGCCGTACGCGCAGTCGCCCGTTGAGTTGCAGCGCGGAGCTAGCTAGCTAGCGAGTGACCCCGACTTCATATCTCCTAAGAAGCGAAAGCGCAGCGATGTAGCTAGTTCGTAACGCAACGGTCTCAGAAGGAGAGCGGCAGTGTCAGAGTGATATTTTGGAGAAAGCTAACGTGGAAGAGTTGAATTATTGGTTGTCTCTTTTTGTAGGCGAAATTCGAAACAAGAGTGGCAAGCCGTATTCGCCAAAATACATCCACCAAATTCTCTGTGGTCTACAGCGCTACATGCTCGATCGCAATTTGACGCTCTAGTTCTTTGACTGCGTATACATACACTGTACTGTGTAAATTCCTCTCTCATGCTAATTGCATTCCTGATACACTTCCCTATGCATTGCGCGTGGGCAGGGTCGAAGAACCCTCTGCTATACAAATGCGCGCATCAACTAATTGCATTCCCTATACACTTCCCTCGTTATTGCGCGTGGGCAGAGCGGGCAGCAGCTAACTCATACCGCGGTGCGCTTTTGATGTTAGGACACGATACAACTGAGGAAACATTACGTTTGATGTTGTCCAGCATGTAGCTACACTGTAATGATATATAACTTGACTTTCTCAATGGCTAGGGAGTGGCACTAAAACCCAACCATTCCCAACACTATTCCTTTATTAGTAGTACTTACTGCACTGTTAGTGTCATTCCCACATAGTTGAACCTGACATGGCATATAGGTGATGTTGTACTTTCCATTATCTTGAAAGGCGAGTGCCCTAGGAATAGTTTGACAATGTAGGAACATAAGATGATAGCGTA